AGGATCGGCTCATTAGGGCCTGTCTACCATTGCCCATTGCTCCCCTGGGCAATATCACCAACTCTTCTTTTTTACAAGAGCTCAGGATGTGGCTAAGATGCCACCGTTAAGTTGGGAGTGGCATTCCCCTGTCTCCTCTCCCCATGGACCTCCACAACCCTTCAAATCCACCCTGAAGGGTTGGGAGAACCCCCAGAATGATGCAGGTGGGGAGGGGGAGGAGAAAGGAGAATCATTCAATTTGGTAAGGATAAATGTTTGTGCTCATGGAATGATCAGAAGAATTATCTGAATTTAGATAAGGCTTTCCTTGTTTGTGAGCATTGTAAACCAAATTCCCATGAACATCTATTGAGAAAAATGGACAAAATGCTGGAAGTGACCAAGCGACTGAACTATAAATCTGGTGTGACACTCTAATATGTCCAGGTCTTGCAGTGTCAAATCACAATCTATCATAAAACTTCTAAAAGTGAATCGGATAATTTTAGGTAAAAAGAAGTTCCAAAAGAGGCTCAGTAGGTTCAGAAATACATGAAAATATTACTATTACTCAAAAACTAAAATCCCTATTTTTCCAGTTTTTACTTTTAAATATATAATTTTCTGTTAGCATTTCTCATTTGCAATACAGGCATCTGTCATCAGTAATGAATAATGTGCCAGAGTGACACTTTTTATTTAGAAAAATAATAAAATGCCTCATTTGTCTGCAGCTCGAAAGACAAGAAGTATGAATACAGTGATGCTGTCAGTGATGACAACTAGCATATTCTCCCTCCTTCGATATGGGCATAATTATATGATCCAATTCTGCCTGATGGTTTTTACTCTGCAGAAAGAGCAATAATGGTTTGAAAAGTGAAGGCCTCTTCTTTTTGTGTGTGATAGTTGCTGATTTGTATAAAATATACTTTATTTTTGTAATGTATGAAGTTACTTCCCAACATTTGCATCCTAAGTAGGCATCTATTATTCTGATGACAAATTAAATTATTAGTGTGTCTAAGCTTGGACTCTTCATGTCTTGAGGAAGATTGATTGGCAGTAGGTTCAGGACAAACAAAAGGCAGTATTTCTTTATGTGATACATAATTAGTAGGATTCATTGGCACAAGCACAAATGGCTTTCTAATAGGAATAGACAAATTCATAGAGGGCAGGACAATTGACTTTGAGTTGTTATGATTGGGAAAGGAACTTCCCAGTTCAGAACCAGTATACCTCAGATTTACAGATCCTGGAAATAAATGGCATCCCCCTAGGAGGAGACGGAGCCACTCACTGCATCATCTCATTTGGAGTTCTGGTCATCAGTGCCATGTTTTTCCTGAACCCCAAGGAGACACCTATGCCATCAAACTCTGACAAGCAGTACACAGACTCCTTGAAGGACCACCCTGTGAAGACAGCTTCACATCTTGAAACCCCAGTGCCAAGAAGAAGCCAATGGCTGCAAAGGAAGGCACCAGCCCTTTAACTGGCCAGATGCAGCATTTGGGGCATAGGGCCTCTCATCAATGAATGCCTAGACCAGTATATAATGATCTGCCATTCGCTCCAAGTCACTGCCAAGACAACTATGTTCTGCCTCGGGTACAGATTTGCTAACTGAGCTGAAGGGGGAGATAATTCAGTACCTTTGACTCTTCCCTACCAAACAGTGGGACAGCAAGATTTTGCAAAGAGCTCTACACACATAGTCCCAGCTGCGTCAAGTAAGCTTCAGTTTGATACAGCAACATGCTACTTTTTTCTGTATAACAAAATATTATTTTATTTTGCTCTGGTATATATTATTTCGAGAAGGGAAACCAAAGCAAATGACTTTGAGATTTTGGCATCTTCAAATCATTTGATACAGGCACTCAGCAGAACTGTAGTCTCTCACAAATTGCCATTTGTTAATGAACATATGGACTCCTTAGCTCCTTGCTATGCTATTGTTAGGTTGTTTCAATATATAAAAATGCTGCATAGTACACATTCAACAGACTTTGAATGAATGGCTTTTACAGGTTGGTGAGGCACTGCTTGACCTTCCTGGTTCCGGTATCTTATATTTTATGCCCTGCGTTCTGCTAAGTATGTATTCAGAGGTGATGAGTGACAGCACCAAACCTGGAATGTGCTCAGCAATTTCTAGCAGTGTCATCTTGACTTGATATTTATTTAGCATGGCCATGTGTCTTAGAGGACAGTTTTCTATTTGAAGGGCTGTCAGGGGCAGTGGAAGAGCATATACCTGCGCTGCTCAGGGCAGGCGCATTCCCGAGGGGTGTGGAGGGTGCCCTCCCAGGCACGGGATAGCCGCGTGCACACCCACAGATCCCACTTCCTTCCTCTCCTCTTCCCGTTCACCTGCTTCCTTCCCGTCCTCTCCCCTGCCTGCCTGCCTCCTCCAGCTGGGAGCACAGAGCAACAGGACACAGCCTGCTCATGACTCCCTTGCCTACCACCAGCTGTCAGGGGAAGGGGGGAGGAAGGAACCGGCAAAGTGGTGCAGCAGCTCCCCCCTTCTCCCGGCTTGAGGTAGGCGTGGGAGTCCGAGTCGTGGGAGTCTGAGTCGTGGGCGGATGGAACACCAAATGTCACCCCCACTCAGGGATGACACCTGGAGCGGTGCGCCCCCGCCACACCCACCTTCCTCCACCAGTGGTCAGGGGAGGACCCTCTTCAGAGGCATCCTCTATTTGAGGGGTTGTTCAGTCCCAGGCTGGTTTAGAGCATAAACAAACCATAAGAAGGGAAAGCAGGGGCCTTGAAGCAGGGTTGCCATACATCTGGAATTTCCCAGATATACAGTGGTACCTCGGGTTACAGACACTTCAGGTTACAAACGCTTCAGGTTACAGACTCCGCTAACCCAGAAATAGTACCTCAGGTTAAGAACTTTGCTGCAGGATGAGAACAGAAATCGCGCGGCGGCAGCAGGAGGCCCCATTAGCTAAAGTGGTACCTTAGGTTAAGAACAGTTTCAGATTAAGAACAGATCTCCAGAATGAATTAAGTTCTTAACCTGAGGTACCACTGTATACAGAATACTGCATTTGGCAGCAGTGTCTGGATAAGAATTGGTCACATGTTCAGGAACCTCCGGATGTATGGCAGCCCATGTCGGCAGTGCCGAATTTCCATAAAAATAGATCAAAAATGGCAATTTTGCAAAAAACAAACATCTGGACAGTAGATGATCAGGCCCATATGTCACCTGGTCACAGTAATTTTTCTCTTTCTGCATCTATACAGACATATGGAATAGCATATGCAAACAGCATGCATGTCTGTGTCCTCATTTGCCTTCTTTGTGGTTGATGAATTTTCTCTTTCTGTTTTGGGGAGGAGATGCATAAGTGGGTGCTCAGTGTCTGTGAATGAGAAGAGCAGACTTCCAGTTGTGAAATGGGGCTCCCATCTGCAGCCACCTGGCCACTCCCAAAAGCTGGTCCAGAGGATTGGGGGTCCTCTAGAGCAGATGTGGGAGGCAAGGGAAAGCTCCACTGCATGAGCTACACTCCACTTGTGCAATTTGTCCATTCCCTTTGTGGCAAGTTGCTACCCCAAAGTTTCCTAGGTCACACAGCAGAGGAGTACAGTGGTACCTCTGGTTAAGTACTTAATTCATTCCGGAGGTCCGTTCTTAACCTGAAACTGTTCTTAACCTGAAGCTCCACTTTAGCTAATGGGGCCTCCTGCTGCCGCCGCACCGCCGGAGCATGATTTCTGTTCTCATCCTGAAGCAAAATTCTTAACCCGAGGTGCTATTTCTGGGTTAGCGGAGTCTGTAACCTGAAGCGAATGTAACCTGAAGTGTATGTAACCCAAGGTACCACTGTATTTACATGAGCAGGCTGGATCATATGGGTTATGACCCACATTTGTGTCAACAGGAACAAGGAAGGAATCGGGGATTCTTACAGCATATTCCTATGCAGGTCTACTTAGAAGTAAGTTCAATGAGGCTTCCTCCCACGTAAATTTTTACAGATTGTGACCTCAAGGGAGAGTTGTTGGCCTGCATTCTTCTGTGCTATAGCACCTCTGCAAATGTCCAGCGGTAGTATTACAGCTACCAACTCAGCAGTTATCTGGTGACATAATGGGCCAATAGTTTTCTGCCTCATCCTACAAAGCCTGTTTGGCCCAGCCACGTTTTGCATCTGAACTACTGATTGTTCAGGCTGAGGCTAAGCTGCCCTCTTTCCCTGCTTGCCTCCAGACCACCAGTCCTGACCATGTATCTTAGGACTTACTATTCTGGGTGACCATAAAGTCAAAATTTGGCAGGAAAGCTTACCAGTCTAGTATTACTGGAATAACAATAATAAAATTGTTTGAGGGATAAGTAACTTCCAAATGAAATTGGGAAAGTGGCCCACCTAGCTCTTATAATTTCTTTGGGGGAAAGCTCTTCCCGTTCCATTCACCCCCAAAGAGCAGTGCTACTTATTAGCATTTACAGTGGTGCCCCGCAAGACGAACGCCTCGCAAGACGGAAAACCCGCTAGACGAAAGGGTTTTCCGTTTTGGAGGCGCTTCGCAAAACGAATTTCCCTATGGGCTTGCTTCGCAAGACGAAAGCCCATAGGGAAATCTCCGGGACCTCTTTTAAATGCTAGCGGTGGGAGCAAAGCCTTCCCCCTCCGCCCTTCACAAGTGGTCCTGGAAGGCGGGGGGGGGCCGAATGGCTTTGCGCCCCACCGCCAGCATTTTAAAAGCAGTCCGGGATAGCAGGGAAGCGCTTCCCGCTATCCCGGACGGCTTTGAAGGCAGGAGAGGTCCGCGAAGCCTGGGCGCGCTGATCTCAGCGCGCGCAGGCCTCGGCATGCCGGCAACTCTCCGCAAGCAGCGGCAGCGCTGCCGCTGCTCGCGGAGAGGTCCGCGAGCCTGGGCGCGCTGATCTCAGCGCGCGCAGGCTCGGCATGCCGGCAACTCTCCGCAAGCAGCGGCAGCGCTGCCGCTGCTCGCGGAGAGGTCCGCGAAGCCTGGGCGCGCTGATCTCAGCGCGCGCAGGCTCGGCATGCCGGCAACTCTCCGCAAGCAGCGGCAGCGCTGCCGCTGCTCGCGGAGAGGTCCGCGAAGCCTGGGCGCGCTGATCTCAGCGCGCGCAGGCTTCGGCATGCCGGCAACTCTCCGCAAGCAGCGGCAGCGCTGCCGCTGCTCGCGGAGAGGTCCGCGAAGCCTGGGCGCGCTGATCTCAGCGCGCGCAGGCTCGGCATGCCGGCAACTCTCCGCAAGCAGCGGCAGCGCTGCCGCTGCTCGCGGAGAGGTCCGCGAAGCCTGGGCGCGCTGATCTCAGCGCGCGCAGGCTTCGGCATGCCGGCAACTCTCCGCAAGCAGCGGCAGTGCTGCCGCTGCTTGCGGAGAGGTCCGCGAAGCCTTGGCTGGACAGCTTTTGAAGGCAGGTGGGGGGGACAAGACTTTCGCCCCCGCCAGCCTTCAGAAGAGGTCCAGGACCTCTTCTGAAGGCTGGCGGGGGCAAAGTCTTTGTCCCCCTGCCTGCCTTCCCAGGGGCTTTAAATTGCCCGGGACAGCGGAGGACTTCTCCGCTGTCCGGGGCAAATTTAAATGCCGCCCGCCAGCATTTTAAGATCGCCCCGGACAGCGGAGAAGCCCTCCGCTGTCCCGGGGTTTTTTAAAATGCTGGGGTGGGTGGGAAGAAAAGCCCTTGTCCCCCCCCCCCAGCCTTCAGAAGAGGTCGGGGGACAGACTGTCCCCGGACCTGGTCTGAAGTCGGTTTCCCATAGGAATGCATTAATTGATTTTCAATGCATTCCTATGGGAAACCGTGCATCGCAAGACGAAAAACTCGCAAGAAGAAAAAACTTGCGGAACGAATTAATTTCGTCTTGCGAGGCACCACTGTATTAATATTTATATTATAGCAGACCACAGCCACAAGAAAGATCACATTGCAACACCTATTCAAGGACCAGATTCTTATCAATGGGAAGATGATTAGCTTATTTCTTCTAATAAGATTCAAGAGCAATGGGAGGTCTAATAGAATGTGTTTTTCCCCCAGATTTACTCTCTTGGATTCTGTCCAACTGCTTGCCCTCCCTCAATAACTCACATTCAAAGGAATGCAGGATTTTCTTCTTCTTTTTTTCCTTGGTACTGTGGTGCAGTAAAATGTTCTTGCTGACACAGTAGATTTTTCTTCAGGGTCAGTATGTTAACATTACAATAATCGTTGCTGCTTCACATTATCTTCTCTTTCATTTGCCCCTTAAAACACCCCTATCTGCTTTTAAAGAAACAAGGGGCAGGATGATGTAAGCATTCCTCACATGTTGTTTACAAATAATGCAATTATGAACATTAAATTGAAATCAGGATCCCTCTTTCAACATAGTGGCTTTCAGTGCAGAGCTTCTTTGTGATATAATACATAGGCTAGTTTTCATGTCCTTGCATTGCAATTAACAACCTTCTAGTATATATTTACTTCTCAGAAATCCCCTAAACCATGGATATCCAGTGGAGCAGTTCGATTATTTTAGATTCTCATCTAAATGGATAACTTGGGAGTAGGGGAAGGAGGGGGCTCTTTTGATGGCAATGTGCATTACTTCACTCACTTAGTTCACTTAATAAACTCAAAATGTGGTGAGCCAGTCATGCTGTGCTTGAGAGTCACCCTTCTGATTCTCTGGAACCCTGGAACTTGCCCCCAAATTTATGGTGATATACCTTATTTAGTATAGGGACGCGGGTGGCGCTGTGGGTTAAACCACAGAGCCTAGGACTTGCTGATCAGAAGGTCGGCAGTTCGAATCCCTGTGACGGGGTGAACTCCTGTTGCTCGGTCCCTGCTCCTGCCAACCTAGCAGTTCAAAAGCACGTCAAAGTGCAAGTAGATAAATAGGTACCACTCTGGTGGGAAGGTAAACAGTGTTTCCGTGCGCTGCTCTGGTTTGCCAGAAGCGGCTTTGTCATTCTGGCCACATGACCTGGAAGCTCCCTTGGCCAATAAAGCGAGATGAGCACTGCAACCCCAGAGTCGGTCACGACTGGACCTAATGGTCAGGGGTCCCTTTACCTTTACCTTACCTTATTTAGCAGGTACAGTGGTACCTTGGTTCTCAAACTTAATCCATTCCGGAAGTCCGTTCCAAAACCAAAGTGTTCCAAAACCAAGATGCGCTTTCCCATAGAAAGTAATGCAAAATGGAATAATCCGTTCCAGACTTTTAAAAACAACCCCTAAAACAGCAATTTAACATGCATTTTACTATCTAACAAGACCATTGATCCATAAAATGAAAGCAATAATGTACTGCAGTCACACAATCAATCAATCAGTAGCTGAACTGGGCTCCACACAGTCACAAAAACAAAAAAAAGAGCCGCAAAAAACAAAACCACAAAATAAATAGCGAAAACAGACAGACCTCAGTGTAACACTCAAAACGGAAGTGTGGCACTCAAATCGGAAGCGTAACACTCAAAACAGAGCATATTCGGCTTCTGAAAAGAGTTTGCAAACCAGAACACTTACTTCTGGGTTTGCAGTGTTTGGGTTCCAAGTTGTTTGAGAACCAAGGTACCACTGTATATGGGGGGCAGGAAGAGACCAGGAAAAACAAAGAAGCTGCCTATTGGTCCATCATGTTCAGTTATGGCAGCAGCTCTACAGGCTTTCAGACAGGGCCCCATCCCAGCACTACTTGGAGATGGCAGGGATTGGACCTGGGACTTCCTTAATGGAAATAATGTTCTCTGTCAGGGAGCTACAGCCCTTCCCAAGAGGTAGCTCTCCCACTCTTGTTCCCTTTGTGGCATAACTTTGTCAAATGGCAGAAGTAGCAGAAGCAGTATCAGAAATAAATGTGTGCAGTGGGTTTGCATATTTCAGAAAGGGTGGCAAAAATTATGACTAGCTGAAGCCCCATTGATTTCAGTGGGTCTACTCTATGTGTGACTAGGTCTGGATCCACTCCTATCTAAATAAATGACTCGGCTTTAAATGCATTGTAATTAGGATTGCTAACTGACCAGAAAACAAAAACATATTAGTCTGCTTCTTTACCATTGGTAGCAGCTATGCAATCATCTAGCTTTTCATGACATGGATATAAGCCTGATTGTCTGTTAACATCTGAAAGTTAAGCTGCTATTAGAGACACAAAACCAGCAGCCAGTAGAAAAGTTGGCACTCCTGGCTGTTATGACTTACCTCTTATACAATACAGAAAGCTGTGTCAGTTATTGTGTTGTTTTCGTTTGAAGAATGAAATCCGGGCTGCACCAAATATTCACCCTTTTGGATAGTCAGGCCCCCCTGCTCTTTTAAGTGCTTGCTGCTGTTCACTGGAACTGCCCCACACTCTCTGCTGCTGTTTCACTACATGTTCTGCAAATTACTGTATTCTGATCTTCCTGTTTTTTTAATCTGATGGAGGTATCCCTGGGCTACATTGCCAATTAGCTGTGGCTATGAGACAATATCACAGATAAAGCAGAATGGGGGAAATGCTTCCATGAGTCATGGGGTGATCTCAGCCAGTCAGATAATTGTTTGTTCTTGCTCTGTGTAGGCAGACTTTGGCATCCTTTCCATGCAATCTCCCCGCCTCCTGGAAAAAAAGTGAAAGGAGAGGTGATTTTCAATGCTGCCAAAGCTATTTGAGTATATCAATCATTTTTCAGCCCAAAGGTTTCACACTGATTTTAGAATTTATTGCTAGAATAGGAGTATTACGGAAGGATATCTAGAAAAGCAATAGTCCTCATAGCCATATACAACCCAAAACAGGATGGTGCCCTTCCTATTCTGTTACTAATCGGACTGTTAGTAGACACTCTGCCCTGAACATTGGTGATAGAATAGCATCCTCCACTGCACCCAAGAGCAATAGGCTGACTTAAGCGATGCAGGGCTTAGCAATACATCCCTTTCTGTCCCACCTTATATTTGTCACATGCAGCACCGTTTCCTTTCAGTTGCAGTTCATCTTCTGCCAAAAATTCCTTTATTTGTCTTGTTGTCTGCTGTGGTGAAAGTACATAACTTACGTAACTTAAATAATCAATTATTCCACTCTATTCATTTCAAGCCAAAAGAAATGCAAAGCAAATGGTGTGTGCAATCAATTACACTTAATTTGAGGGCTGTAAGCAACAGCAATGGTGAACACCAGTTGTATTAGCTGGATTGATTTCCATTCCAAACATGGGACAAGTAAGCAAACAGGCAATTTCCACTCCCATTTCTATTTTTGCAAGATTTCTGTGACATCCCTCTGCCTGAAGCAGTGATCTCGTTTTGCCTAAGGATAGGTCTGGCCTTGGATATAGCTAACCTGGCTTTGCAGAACTGAGGTACAATGCAATGAAATATGAAGCACCTTTTGTCCTTCATTCCTCATCAGCAGCTTGTTGTCAGAGTGGAGCTTGGTGAGCCAACATCTTCTCTGGCAAACCCCTGTGACTTCCACTTCTGGCACACCCTTCTAGATCATAGGGTAAGCCAACATTCCCGAAGGGGCCTGATTTGGTCATGAGGATGCCACTGATCCCTACTTTATTACTCATGCTTACTTTGAGAGCCTATTATCTCCAAAGTGTCACTAGCCCTGCTGCACTGTTAGGATCAGGTTTAGACTGGCAGCTGAGGAGGGAGGTGGAACAGGAGGCAGCAGCGATTGAATAGGAGCCTGATCAGGAGGGTCTAGTCTTGTCACCTAGAACCAGGAACTGCCTTCAGAGATTGGGGCAGACCCTCTAACACTGTGCGTGTGTTTTAAATCCCAGCATGCCCATGAGGTGAGTATGTCTCATGAGTGAGAGTGCCATGCCTTATTTTTAAAAGCTTGGCAGGTGAAGTGTGGAACTTGTTGGGATATCTTCATCATTTCTGTCTAGTTCTGGGCTCTTGAGTTCCTGTACCATGACTGTGTCTGCTGCTGAGCCTGAATCCCTGTGTCTCCTGCTAGTTGCCTGAATAAAGCTATTTTTCTTGCTCCCAAGTAAGAACCTCTGCTTGCTCATTCTTGGAGAGGGAGCCAGGACACGAAGGATATTCATATACATATGCTGCCCCTGCAAGACAGAAAAAAGGGTTAAGCAGATTCTGACACATAGCTTAGGAATCTCTTGAGAAAGTTAATATCAGATTTGATTAATATTGTGAAATGATAGCCTACTCATTGTTGCTGTGAAAGAAGTCACATGGCAAGCCCACGAGCTGTCATTTCAGCCCCAACCTGGTTGCTCTGAGATGAGGTTATCAATCTGTTATAAATCCAGGGCCATCAGTCATTCTGCATGGTGCCATTGCATTGCGACTGACTTGATTACAAAGAAGATGAGG